TTTGACCTAGGGTTGACCCAGATGAAACCCTAGTTGACTGCATTCAACTGTAGCTCTTGTACTCAAACCAATGACTTGTCTCATCTTCAAAATGACCCTCTAGGTCCTCCATGGCCTTTGTTCACCTTCCATGCCCTCAATCCATAGCTCATACCCCATTAATGATCTTCAACACACCCTAAGATAAGAGAGAAATCCACTAGTTGACCTCCAAACTTCTCAAAGCTTCAACTTCTTTCTTGATGACTTGTGTAGTCTTGAGCTTGAACAAAAAACCCCTTTGATGTGCTTCTTTAGATAAGAATGGCACTTGATCCCTTGTTGGATGACTTGCTATGCTATGCTACGCAAATGATTAGACTATGTACATGATCTACTATGCAAGTGACAATGCAATTGAAACATAAACCAAGTAAAATAAGTTGGGCAAATTTTAGGGTGCAACACTGATCATGAACCTAAAAGTCATATATAAGTTCAGTAATTAATTTATAATAAAATAATCACTTAAACTGTAGTACTAGTACCTGTTTCTTTGATGCAGCTGAATCGGTATCCCGCACAATAATTTTATCATCTTTTGATTTGGATTTTGTAGGAGTCTAAGATCATCATGTCAATAAGAAAGTGTAAATGTAAGAATAACTTTCATGTATGGGTAATAAAACATTGGAATATTACAAGGTTCAACCTACCTCATCATCTATGAAAATGAGATTCGCCGGCCATGCTACATACGCTCCTATTGCGTCTCCCACCACTGTTGCGTCTGATACATCATCTGGTATAAGCAACAACGCCCCCCTCTAATGCAATATCAACCGATACTTTCAAAAATCCAGCAGGGAGGGGTTTATGGTGAAGTAAGTCTCCCAGAGTGTTATGCACCTTTCCCTTGCCAACCAAGCGATAAGTCGGTGATGATAAATATAGTCGACAAGATGAAATGCCATACACAAATAATGATCAATTAATGTGTCAATTAAGAAAAATGTGCTAAATTAATTTCAATGTAATATATACAATTACCTCTGGAAGCTTCTGCGGACAACCGATACTATCTTTGTCACTAGTAGCTTTATCGGCCTCTGGAGCGCGCCTTTCGGACATGTATCTCTCCTTATCCTTCTGTAATTCACGAATTTGAGCTTTCATTTCCTCCAAAGTAGCCATCACTTCTTTATTGGTTGGATTTTTTTTCTTTGGTTGCTTATACAGTTTGGATGGAGTGACACCAAATCCCTTACCCCTCACACGCCCAGAATACTCAGGAATATTCAACACCCGACTCAATAAGCTCCTGCAATCATCGTCTTCAGCTAGAGTTATAGTCTGGGATAGGGACTCCTGAAATATAGATAAAAGCATATATAAATATATTATACACTTTTGATTAGTTACTGGCAAAGCTAATGTTGTACTTACACATTGTTCAAATACTTGTTGAACTTCTTCCTGGACGACTCCATCTCTTCCCACACGGGCAGCCTTCCATACAACATGGTCCAGAAGAGATGTCGCATCACTTTTCTCCTCTTCCAACTACGCATTAAGACGAATAATAAAGCATTATATCCTATTATATATACTTACTATTTTTTGTAAATATATCATATTAAAGCATTTATATGTACTTACTAATTTTTGTTCTAAGCGTGCATATCCCAAACGCCCCTTTCTGTATGGATACGCAGGGTTTGATGCCCGTTGCCGATTTACGCCACTCTTAACCTGAAAAAACAAGTTTAAGTCATATCAGAACTCTTGTGGAAGAGGTATATATACTATACATTTTTCATGATAAGTTGTACTTCAAATTCTTTGGTTCTTCGCTTCGCAACAAATGTCTCCCATTCTGCATCCGAAATCAAATCAGCGTACTTCGTTGACACTCCAAGTCTACAAAGTTTCCATCAGAATCTTTAAGAAACTTGTTCGTTAAAAACGCTCTAAATCCTCTCAAGCGTTTTACGGCTAACTGAATACAATATTTTCTCCTAGAATCCTCAATATTAAAAGATCTCTGCAAACAAATACACATACATATAACATGTTAGTATAATTAATTTAAAGATGTAACTGTCAACATAATTAAAAATGATTAAATATCATACTTGAATCTTGCTCCAAATTTTATCCTTAGCCGCTTGTAATGCAGGAATTCTCCAATTATCGCAAGTAATCGGAACTTGCGAACGTACAAGTGCTCCAATGTAACTTGTCAGCAGTGCACTGTTAGGCTCAACCAACTGATCTCTTTCATTCCAATGGACATCGTACTTTACACCTCTATCTCTCGCACAAATGATTTTTTTCATTATCGTTATGCCTCTTTTAATTTCGCCTTCCACGTCTTTTGTTGTTTGTTTTCCATCATGTGATGTTTCCTCGTTGCTGGCCATAATATACCTGTAATTCAGAATAACAACAACAACAACAACAAACCATCTATATCAACAGCAACAACAACAAACCATCTATATCAAATAACTCAAATAATAACTCAAATAACTCAAATATCAAATATTATATCTATATAAAACCATCTATATCAAATATCATATTAAATCATCTATAACAAATATCAAATATCAAATATCATATATATATCTCATATTTTACATCAACAACAACAACAAAAACAATAAGTCAAATATCATATTAAACCATCTATATCAAATATCAAATATCAAATATCATATCTATATCTCAATAACACTAAAAACATCAAATATCATATATCAAATATTAAATTTACTTGCATGTCATCAAACCTTCAATAACTCAATAACACAAAGAGACAATAACACTAAACCTTCAATAACTCAATAACACAAAGAGACAATAACACCAAACCTTCAATAACTCAATAACACTAAACCTTCAATAACTCAATAACACAAAGAGACAATAACACTAAACCTTCAATAACTCAATAACACTAAACCTTCAATAAAAACAACAACAACAATAATAATATTAAACCATCTATATCTCAATAACACAAAGAGACAATAACACAATAAACCATCTATCTTCAAATACCATCTATATAAAACCATCTATATCATCAGAACAAAAAAATCATCTATATATATCTTCAAATACCAACAATGGTGAAAAGATAAAAAAAAACAAGAAAAGCAGAGTAAAACTTCACATACCGTAACAATGGTGGAAAGGCAATGCAGACGGATGGATAAACTCAAAAATGGTCGGTGAATGGTCGGTGAACGGTCGGTGATGATCGGACGGAAGAAGGTGATGATCGGACAGAAACGTAGGTTAACAGTGTTCGTTCGTTCGTTCGCCAGAGAAAGAAGAAATGAAACTACGTGACTGTTCTGTTTCTATTAAAATTCTGGAGGGTATTTTAAAATTATAATATGAATACCTATAGCAGCGCTTTTTAAAGGCCTTTAGCAACGCTTTTAAAAGCGCTTTCATAGGGTGCCTTAGCAATGCCATATAGAAAAAGCGCTTTCTAAGGGTCCCCCTTTAGCAACGTTTTTTAAAAGCGCTTTCTTAGGGTGGACCTTTAGCAGCGCTTTTTAAAAGCGCTTTCTTAGGGTCCCCCATTAGTAGCGCTTTTTAAAAGCGCTTTCTTAGGATCCCCCTTTAGCAGCGCTTTTCAGAAAGCGCTTTCTTAGGCTCCCCATTTAGCAGCGCTTTTTTAAAAGCGCTGTCTTTGGTAGGTGCTTTTTTTCTTCTTTTTTTTTACTGACCCTTTAGCAGCGCTTTTGTGAAAAGCGATGTCTTTCTATGCTGCTAAAAGTGATTTCTGACGTAGTGTATATAAAGATTAGGATTGTCTTGTCCATAATATATAATAATAGTGAAAATCTCTTACTGCGTAAGGGGAGGGGAACCAGGTAGGACTGACAATGAACCAAACCAACTCGAAGATAATTTAAAACTCGACTCGACAATTAAATTGTTGAACTAGTTTAATGAACCAAACTAGCTGAATGAAAAACTATATATGTTTGTTAACTAAATGAGCTGATTCACCCACTCTCTTAGGTGCATATTCTATTTACATAAGGAGCAAAAAATCTGAGAACGCTATCATGTAACTCTTGTTAGTGTCAATTTTATTTTTCATTTTTTCTTTTCTGAAATGAAATTGAATACAGTGAATCGAAGCCTGGAAATATTAATTATATACTATGAGACAATAGATCAACTTTCTTCTATGTGATTTCTCTAATGAGTTACATGAATTCATAGAAATTGAAACATGAATTAGAAGAAAAGAAAAGTAAAATCTTACAATTTAGAAACAAAGTTGGTTGAAGAAAAAGTGATCAGTATAAGTGGCGGAAGAAGATGAACAATATATTATTTACTTAATTTAATAGATTTCAAAAATATAATTTTAAAATTTTTCTAAAAATATATTTTTGAAATAAATTTATTCATATAATTAAGAGTCTGATTCAATATATCAAATGCGTTTAGAGATATATCTTTAAAAATTAAGAATTTTTTAAATATTTTCAGTGCCTAAAAAAACATATAAGCTGAAAAAAAGAAATCCTCTTCAATTTTAGAAGTGGATTAAATAATGGGTTGGATCCCACTCAAATCCATTTGAAAACTCTACTAACAATATATTTGGACATCTGTACACATATTAAACAAACCTTGTAATACTAAGACAGAAAAGATAAGGATGAACTTTGTTTAAAGTAGTATTTGATTATGCGACAGATGCAGCCAAAACTAGCCCACCATTCTTTTCCAATCCACCTCGAACTCTTCCCGGTGACCAAGACTGCATCACTTCTTTTGAACTATCCAATTCAATTCAAAGCTACAAGATATGAATGAATCACACTAGCTTACAACACCTCACATGCTTTCTTTTGATGAATTTAAAGATATTAAACCCAGCATATGCAAAAGACCTTATACATTATTGTTATAATAGGTGAAAATGCATACAACAATAAACAAACTATAACTAAGTCTACTTAATTAAACAATAATAATTTCCATCACATAAAAGTATCAGTAGAGAATGCATTCACAGATAGATCTTGCAAACTAAAATCATTATCCACAACCAATCCATCAGAAACATCCATGTTACCCGAATTCGGAATAAAACCGTTGTTCTTGACATAATCAAATGAGTTATAACCATTCTGCTGTTGCTGAGCCACTTGAATTTGTTCCATCTTCAATGGAAATGGCCTAGAAACTTGATTGTAACCTGTGCTACTAAACTGTGGCATTAACCTAGCTGTTGCTGTTGCTGTTGATGTATCATGTTGAATATTCTGTTTGTTACCTTGTTGAAAGTTTAAGGTAATAGGTCCTTTATGAACACCTAGCGACGACAACGACGACGACGAAGTAGTGCTAGGACAACCTGTGAATTGCTGCACAAGTTGTCTGAAATTTGTTGTGTTTGCATTAAGAAGTGTTGTTGGTGTTCTCTTAGAAGCTCTAGATCTTCTTCTAATAGGTTTGGATACATTACCACCCTTTGGTGTCAATTGGTCACTAGTGTTTGAGTATGAATTTGTTGGACTCATAACCATGGTTTCTAATGGAAGAGGATTTGTCGTCATAACAGTTGAATCAGAGAAATTTTCTATAGCATGATCATCCATGAGAGGTTGTTGATAGAATTGCATCCAATATTGATCAGCAGAAGCAGTCATGGTAGTATTACTCATATTGATGAAAAATCAGTGATGACAAGGAATTAACTCTGTTGACATAGTCTTAGAATATTTAAAGAATGAAATGAAACATGTTTGTTTAGTTTAGTATTATGTGTAATGTTATGTGTTTATGTATATGTATGTGAGTATTGTCAATTTTCATGGTCAAAGTAAAAATGTCCAATATTGACTATTCTTTGAGAGTGATAGGGAAGAAACTTAGAGACAAAGAATAGTGTGGTTCCAGGAAAGAACCTATATTGAAGTTAATGATATCAGTGACGAAATCAAAATTAATAATAACATCATTTTGGAGAGTGTTTGTTTGTTATGTTGGTCTTAGTGTTTGTTTGGTCAGAAAAATGTGTACTGTGAAGTTGAAAATTATAAAGTGAGATATATGTGTTATGGCTACCTACCCACCATACCTTCTTGTTGATTTGATTTAATTAAGTTTCATGTGTAATTGTATAAACTTAGCATGAACGTGTAAGTTACTTTAAGCTATAGTACTTACTGATTCAATAAAAGAACATCCCTCAGAATTTACTTCATGAAGTTTTTGTAAAAATTTTTTTAATTTAAACAAAAATATTTTAATTATTTTTAATTATGGGTAATACTACGTAATATAGGTGATGTACAGTGTAGAAGAAGAAGTCAAGAGGCACGTGAGTGTAGGGTAGTAGTCTTGGTCTTCGTTTCCATTCCACATACCTATCCTATACCCTTTTTTTATATTTCTGTCATAGGATAATATTTTTACTTTGTCCATACTTCATGGAAAAGACTGTGCATGAGGAGCATATAGGCATGAAAAAAACCATATTACTTTTCTATTTACTTTGAGTTTTGTAACTTTTAAAAGAGAGACTTTTACGATTTTGGAAAAATTATACTAACTAATTATTGGCTCAAGTTATTGATTAAATCATTTTCATTAAAATGTTTCGCTTTAAAATTGTGTAAGGCACACGATCAGTTACGAATATATATATATATATATATATATATATATATATATATATATATATATATATATATATATATATATATATATATATATATATATATATATATATATATTTATTTATTTTGATTGATAAAAAGTTCTAAGACTCGAGATTTAATTCATCTCAAATTTATTTCATTTGATTTAAAATATAAAAGTCAGGACATCCGAGAAATAAGGTACATACTTATGATATCTACTTTCAGTAAATTTATTTTGAATTTTAAACTGACTTCGACGTTGAAGTGCTAACCATGCAAGTCCACCCCGCATCACCATCTCGAGATTAACACCATTGGTTCAAGAGGTTCAGCTCGCTAACTACATCTGTTTCTTGTTCCTGAACGGGACAATAACGTTGTCTATGGGAATCGACTTCTGATTCCTACGATTTTAGATCCAATCTCCGATTTATTTGTTCGCAATCTTCTCATGTTACCAAATCAAGGGGATTTAGAATCGAACGTGGAGATCTGTCACATTCGATCCAATTGATTATCATTTCAATGACAATCCACCAAATCTCCAGATCTCCAATTTCCAATTAAAACTCTGCGAAGTAGAAGAAAAAAGGATTATAAATCCAACTCCAGATTTACACTGGAAGCACCGAAAAGTAAAGATTATTTTCTTAGAGATTATGTCGAAGATTCATGGTCCACCTTCTGATTTAACATCGTCTTCATCTTCCGTCGTCGACGTGATACTCGGTGTGGCGTCGTCGAAGATACGACAAGTTCATAGTTAATAACTGGTGTAGATCCACTACCAGGGCGCCACTGATGGGTACCAAAGGATCTCCGACCGCTGAACGAGATCTCCGCAGGTCGGGTCCAACTGGTCGGGATGGAGAACGCCAACTCGGTAATACCTTTTTCTTATCGCTTAATTCAAATATTAATAGGATAACAGTTGATTCCAGAGACAATTGTTGGTTAAGGTACCTCTTTCATATAGCCCCGGAGGGGCGTCAAGAAATATAATTGGTCAAAGAACAAGAATGTTGAAATTACTACAGCCTCAGACCACCCGACAGGTGCAACATGTTTCGTCGGGACTAGAGTCTGTACGAGATAGCATGGAAGCGAAACCCTGACTATGCTAGCAAGTAAACCAAGCCCCTTCCAAAGGCACATCTTGTCCAAAATTACCCATGATCCTCCGCCCGACATCACCGGCCCTCAGAAAGGTGATCAGATGAATAAAGCAGGTTGAGCTTCTTTTATGAAGGTCGGGAAATGGACATCCCCAGGGAACTTCACCTTTGTCTGACCATACTCTAGGTCCCAAAAAAATACAACAGTAAGCCTAGAGCCAAGCTAAAGTGGTGTATAGCCTAAGATTTATTTTTTTTTCATTTTATTATTTCACTGTAATAAACTTACTTCATTATGAAATGAAAATATTGTCTGTTATTTTTCCCTATGACACTTTTTCTGTCTATTTCTCTTTGGGGCTCTAAAGGTGAGGAGACAAAGAATAAATTCATTTCTACGAAGGTAAATATTACACATACCTTTGCGTGTTTGATGCTGACTAAACACATTTTTGCGTATCTTACATGGCTTAAACATGTCTATTGCACCTCTGCGTGTCTGATACAGACTAAACACATTTATGTGTATCTGACATAACTTAAATGCATCTCTCGCACCTATGTGTGTCTGATACAGACTAAATGCATTTATCTGTATCTAACACGACTTAAACACGTCTCTCACACCTTTACGTGTCTAATACAGACTAAACACATTTTTGTGTATCTGACATGGCTTAAACACATCGCTCACAACTTTGCATGTTTGATAAAGACTAAACACATTTTTTCATAGCTTACACGACTTAAACTCATCTCTCACACCTTTGCATGTATAATATAACTAAACTCATTTTTACGTATTTGACATGGCTTAAAAGCATCTTTCACACCTCTGTTTGTCAAATACAGACTAAACACATTTCTACGTATCAAATACAACTTAAACGCATTTCTCGCATGAATGTGTACCCGACCCATAATACACGCATTTTTGCATATCTGATATGGCTTAAACACATTCTTGCTTAGCTGCCCCCTCGCCCTTCAAATCTAACCAATCTAAAGGCGTAGGATGTGGAGCCTAGAGACGTCTAACTTAATCTGAGCCAAGCTTCGGTGGAAGGAATGAGGATCTGACCCTTGGTTGGAGAAAAATCCTTTGTGACACAAAGCGCTCTAAAAAGACAAATGCATCTTATCGGTCCTACCGATCACAAGCCCTATCGGGGAACAGACCAGCAACGTACTCAATACAACACATAAATTAGTACTCTACTACATGGAACACTAAATACAACATACAAATGTAGCAAGCAAAATAGATAGATGACGAACTTCAATACACTAATCAACAAATCACAAAGACTGTTGTTGAGAAAGTGCATAAAGCACATCAAGTACCTCATCACAACAAGATACTTCCTTCCCTCCTAAAGGAAACCAATCAAGATTCTCACCCCTAAGCAGAGAATCCTTTGCATATGCCAAAGTGCAGACTTTCTACTCACTATAGAACATTGACAAAGCCTAGTGATCCACAAATCATTTATTGCATGGATGCCACGTGAACCCTAGAATTAGTAACAACCAAATTTGTAATAGAACAACACCAATAAAATGGAGGCATGTACAAAAATCAAAGCTAAATAATGCTCAAAATATTGAGGTGAACATACTTGTATAAATATTAATTTTTATATCTGAGGCACAATATCCTGGAAATGTTACAAGGACATAGATAATACAAAGCAAAATAGAAAAATAAGAATTGGTCAAGTCGAAGCCCCTAGAGCCTATGTTCTAAGACCACTATCTTGAAAACCCTCGAGGGCGGCCTAGAAGGGGTTCAAATCCTTAATAGGAATCTTAGAAATGGGACAAAACCTCTTCTCTTATTCCATAATCCAGTCAGAAGCCCTAAACACGACTTGCATAGTCTGTTAGAAGGCATCATTAAGCACTGCCTTCAGATCGACGACCTTGTCTTTAAGAGTTTCCAAGGCCTTAACATGTGCCTTAACCTTTTGAAGAAGAGACTTTTGATCCTCCTCCACACGACGGCTATTCTCAATTGCAGACTTAAAGTCCTCTTAACAATGCTTCTACTCTTCCTTTAGAATAACCTCTAGATCGGTTTCCCAGGTAGCCAAAGTATCGAGGTAATCGTGGATCTTCTCCTCATCTTGCAAAGATCTAGAAAGTTAATCCTTCTTCTACTCTAGAGAGCATAACACTTTTGCTTCATAGTTTCGCATTTCCCATTCCAAGTGTCCCTTTCCTTGAAGAGATTCCCAAGAGCCAATACATCTCCTCAGTTAGGAACAACAAGGAAAAATAGAGATGCAATCTGGTATATGTTATGAGTGACCTCAAAAATAAGCTACATCGACACAGTAGCATCAATCTCCTTAAGAGTGTGAGCAAGTCGGGAAGATAAAACATCTGGTATCCTCAAGAAGGGAGTTACTTCTCCTCAACATCCTCCTCAATAAAATGGGTCTGTTTTGGGGAACCCTCTTGTAGGGGGAGTGCTGATCTTCTTTTCGGGCCCTCTTTGATGAAATTGGAGGCAATGACATCTCCCAAATAGTCATAGTGGTTGCAACATCAACAAGTTAGATGAACTCTAGTGTAGGAGTAGAAGTCTCAGTAACCAAGATAAGAGCAGGGTTCTGAGCAGTAGCAGTGGTAGTCAGAGGGGGCATCACAACCTTGATACCCCAAGCATTACCAAGGGCATAAAACATCTCCAACTTGTCCATATTATCTGCAAAATGCAACACACATTCAAAAAAACACTTAAGAATTCATGCTCAGCGAAAAATATCTTTTATTTTCTCACAATTAATCACACTCACTATGGAATAAGTTTCAATTCGCCTCTTCCTCACCTTAGTTGGAGGCACCTCATCGAGGCCAAACCTTTTTTTGCAGCCGAGGACATGAAACTAGAAGCACAAT